ACCCCCCCCCACAACCCAGTCACCAGATGCAGACAAAGCCCTGGCACACGGTGGGCCGCTCTACAGCTCTGAGCGCACCTTACCGCCTTGTCCTTGGCAGACTCTTCTTGGCTGTGGGGGGGAAGGAGGTTTGGCCAGTGACCTACCTGCTCTCACTGGTTTCCTTCTTCTCTCTTACGCGCAGCCACTTCCGGAGCAGGAAGCGCTTGCGGCGTGGGGAGGCGCTGGGCGTCGAGCAGTTGGACCAGGGGGTGTCCTCGTCGCTCGAGGGGGTGATTTCGATGGAGGGAAGCTGCAGAAACTCTTTGCTGGGGGAAGGCGAATCCTGATACCTGCCAGCCTCCAGGCTCTGCTCCTGCACGTTCTTCATCCGCCTCATCTTGAGGCGCCTCCGGCGCAGGGTGGGGGTGGACGAACTGGACCAGGCGCGGCCGCACTCCACCACCTGCTGCTCTGGGACTTGCAGCGCCGGGAGCTGGAGGGTCTCTGTCATATTGGCAGCTGGCATTAGATCCCCTTTCTCCTTCCGCTCCCACCCCCAGGCTGACTCTGCCTGACCTTAGTGCAAACCACACCACACGGCTACAGCTTGCCCCTCTCCTCCCTTACCCAGCTCAGCATGTTTCCTCTCCCCTCAAGTCAGAAAACTTGACTCCTCAAGTGCTTTCATTTAACGGGCAGGGGATTCAGGCCCTGGACATGCCACGAGCAAAGCTACTGTCAAGTTTTTCTTTGTTTCCCTGGCCCCTTTCTCTCTGAGAAACAACTTCTCTCCCCTGCCTGGCCTCTCAGGGCAGCAAGCTTAGCATCAGAGCGAGGGGTTGCTGGCGACGGCTGGGCTCGCGTTTGGCTTTTTTCATTCCACTGCCAGTGCTTTCTCCCCTCTTTGCCTAAGGTTGCCTCAGGGAAAAGTCTCCTGGAGCTGGGCTGGAAAACTCAGCTGTGCATCTTCTGGAGAGACCGAGCAAGCGGGGAGCGGCGTGGAGCTGTGAGGAGGTCAGAGAGAGAGAAAGAGAGGGAGGAAGCAATGACAGTAGATAAAATCAGGAGTCCACAGCAGAGGCGGAGGAGGAGGAGGAGGAGGGTGTTTGCTTTCTGTAGCCGATCAGACATGCACAGGCAGCTGCTGCAAGTGTAACCGCGCACACGGTCCCAAGGGACGGGGTCTGTATTACCGAATACACCGCGGCTGCAAATCAGGCTCATGAAAATGGGTAAAGAGAGGAAAATAACTTTTCATACAAGCTGATTGGCCAGGCTCCCCCACGTCCCACCTTCCTGCTTGGACGTCCCACCCGGCAGAGGGAGGGGAAGGAGCCGACCAGGAGTGCCAACCTTATTGTGTGATCAATATGCTTATACTTGCCTCTTTCAAAAGCACAGGCAGAAGGGAGGAGAGGGGAGGGTGAGAAGAGCAGTAGAAAGGTGGCAGCAGCAGCAGCAGCAACAGGTGGCACTAAACCCGGGGGCCGGCTGGCTTGTTTAGCTGGGGCTGTGTGTCAGGGAGAGCTGACAAAAGAGAGGCTGCTTCCAAAATGACACACCGCAATACACGGTCTCAGGTTTTGGAACCAACAAAGACAGCACACAGAGACAATCAGACATGCAGGACAGGCCGAACAGCGAGAGCAAGCCCTAAGACACACGGACGATTCCCGGGCACGGACTGCCCTGAGCGGAGAGGGAGGTATCTACCGAGGGTTACGCACCTGGGGGTGAGATGGGCAGATGGGAGAGCTTCCCAAAACGTCAGCAATAAAACCAGGATGCGCCGTGGCAGTCCAGTTCCCCCATTCAGCTCATCGAGGATTTGCCAAAGGGTTTTGAGCAAGGCTGGACTAAGCCACGGCATCACGTGAAAATCGTAAACTCGGTAGACTCAGCTGTGGTTGGGCTTCAGATCGCAGAGGTGCGAACAGTTCCAGCAAACCAAATAATACAATAATCGTCACTTTTTGGTTCAACTTACAACAAGGTGTTTGTCAGTATTTTCAGAGATGTGAAACGTTGGAAACGTTCGCTCCGGGTCAAGTCCACATCCAGGCCAGAATGAGACAGCGGGTTTCTCTGGAGCTTTCTTACACGTTTTTGAAAAATTCAAGCACAGCGGATTTCAAAATAATTGTAGTTTCAAATAAAGTAAAGGTTTCACTTGGCAGCAAAAACTTGTCACTGGGCTGGAATATGGACTGCATTCACATCACCTGACAGGTCCCATCCAGTGGGATGGGAAACCACAGGCCTGGAGACACCCAGGACTGGATCTGGCAGGCGAAGATCTTAGATTCAAGCAAACCCCAAGTTGTAAAATCCAGATCCAGAAATCAGTTAAGATGCAACAAGTGAGACCATTCATGGGACCAGTGAGTGCAGACACTTGTAAGGGGAAGATGTGTGCTAGTGGGAGTGTGGGAAGCAGGGGAAGGGAAAGAAGGATGTTTGCTGGTGCTAAAAAGCCGCTCAGACCTATGGGCTGGTACCTTGACATTACTTTCTTACAATACATGGTCTTCTTTTAGTCATTGCTCCTTCTGATGGTTGAGAGTTTGACTTGGAGTTTATGTGAATTCTGTATTTATCCATGGGATCTAACTTACACACACACTCACACCTACACACTCAAAAGGCCTTCCATGAACACCCGCGTCTCAAAAAATACCATAAAACCAGCTATTTCAAATAAGAAAAACATCTGGGCTTCCAGAGTAAACAAGAGATTCAAAGGTTTGTTGTTTCCTTCCTGGCACAAGCAGCCGCACACTACAGCTTCTTTACACAGATTAACTGATACTTTCACTTTTTCTTCCAGGAAAACCGAGAAACCTGAACCAAGAGCTACCCGAGAAGTGCAGCGACCTGCTGTAATAACTCCCAGAAAGTCACCTTGCATTCAGCACCCACCTGTGTAATGTGTTCTAAAATATCTTGAAACCCAAAGCTTGCAATACAGACCCAAGGGTGCTGTTTGCAAGCGAGGCCTGCAGCTCAGCTTAAGTCTGTTTTGTCTTATTTCATAGGGCTTAATTCAGCAAGGAACTGGGGTGGGTGGGGGGACATGCATGAGAATTTAATCCCCAAAATTTTGCTTTTGGCCTAAGCTCCAGATCCCTCTGTGCTTACTACTTATGTGCTGCAGTGTGCAAATGAGCATGCTGTTCGGCAGCCATCCTTAACAGGTTTTTGTGCTGTATGTATTAATAGGTCAGATTCCCTCGGGAATCTTTTGAGAGATGTACAAGGGTCTCTTCTTTGGGTATTGCCTTAGGGACAGGAAGCCCAGGTCAAGAAAGTCCAGGGGTGGAAACTGCTTCATTTCCATCCCTCTTATACTTTCCCACTTCAACAACAAATTGTACCGAGCACTTTACACTTTCTAAACACTGCACAAACATTATCTAATTAATCAGCAAGAGACTTGGGCTACCAGCGCTCAGGGCAATTATATGATCAGCTGGAAATGACTGCTTATTATTTCTTCGGGCAGGAAGAATGCCCCCTTCATGCGTCTGCACAAGCAGAGAAGCAGTTCCCCCCTCGCCGCAAGGATTCAGATCAGCCTGCAGCTCTCTCCGGGTGACTAGCAAGATTTGTCCTGGCACAACACCCGGTTCTCTCCCCCGCCCAAAATCTCTCTAAACATGATACCGGATCCTTCGCCATGTGACAAAGATTCCTTGAACACAGAACTCCTCACTTCAGGCCAGGAGAATCTCCTTGCCAGGGAGGTATGACCGGTGGACTATATATACAGCTCTGAGATCCTTAACTACCAACCAGAACATGGGGCTCGATTATTTTTTTCTACAGACCGGCATCAATACTGGGACAAAGTGCATTCACTTTGGCTAAGGATGAACCATTTCTTGGCCTAACTCCTGCTCAAACACTCCAGGGTTTGCACCATGCTTAAGAGAAACTGGGGTAACAGAAGCAAAGAGGGAAGATGAAAAAACTTTACTGAGGTCCTCCTCCTTTTAATGCTAAGTTTTTCACCGATTGCTAAGCATCACTTTTACGTTCAAAGCTTCCCAGTCATTTTTATTTTGGACAGACGACACTGGACACCTGTTTGATGCTCTCTGAAAAGTAGAGGTTACGTAACAAGACAGGCAGCTCAAACTGCTACATCCGTGGCATGAACTTGTACCAGCCACAAGCTGAAATTCTTGCTGTGCAAAACACAAGGCAAGAATATATTGCTCCCTAAAGAGACTACCTTGGCAGTGCTCGCTCCCTGGTCAGTGATGGGTTATGTCGGGAGTGTTGCCTGACACCAGAGAGGATTCACTGTTTCTATTTGGTGTAGTGCAGAGCAGTACAGCACAGCTCTGAGATCCTTAACAACCAACCAGAACATGGGGCTGGATTATTTTTTTCTGCAGACCGGCATCAATACTGGGACAAAGTGCATTCACTTTGGCTAAGGTTGAACCATTTCTTGGCCTATCTCCTGCTCAAACACTCCAGGGTGTGCAACATGCTTAAGAGAAACTGGGGTAACAGAAGCAAAGAGGGAAGATGAAAAAATTTTACTGAGGTCCTCCTGGCCGGTGTGTGCAGGCTGTGTCTTCCACTTCTCCTAAACAAACATTTTTGCTAAGGGAGGAAAGCAGAAAGGCACGGACATAAAATACAAGAAAAAATAGTCTGTGGATTCAGACTCAGTTTGCAAATACACAGAACTCCCCAAACCAGTTCAGAAGCTTAGCAAACCCTTCCTGTTCAGAAGGTCTGTTCTTTCTGTACTTTGGGAAATCGTTTGGTTAAGACAAGGAGACTAGTCATAGTTTTCAGGTCAAGCCCATCTTTTACCTCCCCACCAAGTTGCTAAAAAGTTTAGCTTGTTGAACAGTCCCCTCCTGTGCACACACCTCAAAACCTGCAGTTTTCACACCCGCCTAGGAATCCTGCCCTGCCTCAGCCAAAAAATTCATTCTTGTCAGAACATATTTTGAAATCCAAAATTCAGCCTCCCACCATGCACCGGGCGGTTTTCGATGTGGACTTGCACAGCACGGTTGTGAATGTGAAATAAAAAGTAATAGAAAATTCATTTTAAAATATTTTGCACTTTTCAGGATCCCAGTAGGCTCCTCCTTCTGTACAAAAGGCCAGCAACAACTTTCAGCCTAGAAATACTTCTTTAAAAATGAAGCTTCTGAACTCCTTCCATCTACCGAACCTAGAAGTACCTTTATTTTCACCTACAGTTAGCATTTGGGATCTGATTTCCTGTGCACACAGACACAGGTACTGTTTCAGGAGATGGAGGTTCTGGTCCCCATTCTGCAGCAGATAACCAGGGTCACCTTGGGCAAGCCACAAATTGTTTCTGTGCCTCAATTTCCTCACTTGGAAAAAAAAGGGAGAATGCTACTTCCTGCCCTCTAAATGACACAGGAGCCTGCCTCATCTGGCAAACAATCCCTGGACAAGTCCAATTCTTGTCTCATGCCATAAAACCCTTCCCCTGTGAAACATGAAGGATGATGAAAGGTAAATTCCTTAATAAATATGAAGCACCCAAATGCTACACTGATTATAACGAAAAAGGCAATTAAGCAATAATTGCAAGGAATAATTGTAAGTAAGAATTGCAAGTAAGCAATTCTTGATGGGTTGTTATGAGCTGTCCATTCTTGCTTGCTTTCATTCCCATAAAAAGATATGCTCTACCCCTTTAAAGCACTTAGTAGCAAACAACAGTTGCTCCCACTTGAGCACAGAGCCCGTTTTATTTTGGTTATAGGATACCGGACACCCACATGTGTTATTCTCCGTAACCCAGAGCCTGTGTTATGAGACAGACTCCACAAACTTCACAGGCCGTGGGGTGAGAAATACCAGTCACAGGCCGAAATTCTTAGTGTGTCACAAAGCACGATGGAAATATATCTGCCGCCCCTATATCCCCGCTCCGTCATGCTTGCGACCGCGTTTATCCCACTGCTTTTGACACGGCCTGATCCTGAGGCATCTTGCATTGGTCATGAGAACTTCAGAAAAGTAGCACCTCTCTGGATTGGGCTAAATCTGATGTGAAATCTCATCCCAAATCAACACCACGAAGCA